TTCATCTTCTTCTCCTCCCCCATCAAAGCCTCTCCGCTCTCATCTTGATCATGCTCAAAATCCTTCTCTTTCTCTTTCTGCCACTCCGCTAATTGTCAGGCCGTGAACACGCTTTTCTGTAGATATTTCTGCAGGCCAAGAGCAAAAGAATTCCTCCTGTAGTTTTTGCACATATAATCCCCTTTCTACAGCACTCAGTGTTTGTAGATGTGGATTTTAGTCTACTATTTTTTATGCTGCATTAGGTTTGAAAATACAGTTCTGCATAAGACTTTTATGCAGGTAAACAAAAATGTGACATATGTGTATGCCTGTTTCAACTCTGAATTGACCTCTTCCTACACAYCACTGGAGAAAAGGGTTGAATTTTGATTTGTGTGAAAACTAAATTTAGATGTTATCCTTGATGCATGTATGATCATTCTGAAAGTGTAGATGCGAAGCAAAGAGAGAGAAAAATCATTAGACTTTCCATTTCTGAAATATAAAACAATGCAGAAAGAATTAGCATTAAAGGGAGAATATAAAGAGGATTTTTCTCCTGTAATTATAGGCAAACCTTTTAATCTAGCAGTACGTTCAGACAGTTCAGTTTGCATTTAAGCACAAAAGGTGAAATAATTCAAGTAAGTGTGATCTTAAAACAACTCTAATCTAAATAATTTCATAGTGTTTGTAAGAACACAGTTTTCAAAACTGTTGCACTTTTCTCACTTTTCCAGTAGACTGTTATTTTTTAAAAAGTCTCTCATCATTTAAAGCACTTGTCAAATGCAAGGCCTGGGGGCCAAATGTGGCCCGCCACAGTATTTTACGTGGCCCACAAGAGCTTCAAAGATGAACWAAGCACTATGTGGAGGTGCACTGGGTTTAAAAGTAGCCGGCAGCTGGCAAAATGTGTTGTGTAAAATTTCCATTTCACTGCATTTTCACTGTCTACTTTAGAAGCAGCCCAGTTTTACTTGGAAATGGGAAGTTCCCACTTACAAATTGTACACTGAAAACTGAACTCCCCCTCTAGTGGGAATTCCCTGTTGGAAAGTGGGAGAGTTCAGAATTCAAAACATCGGCTACCACAACTAATCAGTGAGTAAATTCATCTGAAAAAAAAAACTTTTATTTTAAATAGTATTTCCATCCATCCATCCATTATCTACACCCGTTTCTTCCTTTCAGGRTCACAGGGGTCACTGCCGGTGCCCATATCCAGCAGTCACGASGGGTGGGGTGCACCCCGGACAAGTCAGGGCCACACATAGAATGGGAATGGTATTTTTGTATTATATATTTCACAGTTAGTCAGTTGTACATGTTTRTGGAGGAAGTGTTAAAATGCTGTTTCTATGCAGGACATACCACRTGAAGCAATGAGACAAGGAATGTGACATTTTGTGTGTTTAGTTGAAGTTAAAACACAAACGTTGAAATTTGATTACAACCGGCCCTTTGAGGATCACCATAWTACTCATATGGCCCTCAGTGAAAGTGAGTTTGAYGCCCCTGATTTATAGTAAWWATGTATTTGTCTGTGATACAATGCAAATGAAATGTATTTAATACARCTTGAGGAGAAACTTTGTTTTTCTCCGAGCCTAAATTTCATTGTAAGCAGTCAATATTTCAYTCTGACCTCTTTCAGTAAAACCTGCTTTGACTTGACTCTAATATCATTTTAACTGTCAAACTTTCAAAAGAAAGAACCATTGGCAATTTTCTAAAYGCTTGGAAGTTTAGCACAATAGAAGAAATGATTATTTGTCACCAAATATGTCACCACAACCAGAAAACAAAACAAAAAAAAAAAAACTGGATCATTGATTTTCTGTCACTTACATTTAAATTGCATCTGTCAAGGTTCTAAATGGGGTGAACAACATCTCAATACTTCAATTTTTCTTCTAAATCTGTAAAACGCTGATGCTTTTCAGCCTTTAGTGCTTGTTGAATGTAGAAGGAATCTCTGGGATGCTCTTTTCACAAAAGCAACTTGGCTTTTCCCAGGGCGCACAAAAACACACACAAAGACACGCTGGAACGAGATGATTTATTGCCGGGCACGTCTAATGGATTGCTTTGGCACATGAGAAATTATAAAAAGAAATTAATTAGCCTTCAGTGACCCCGCTGTCCATCTGCTGCTCTCTCTTCTGGCTGAGGCGTTCGGCTGCTCTCTCTGCATGTAATTGCAGTTTAAATGGGCCGTATTTACCTGTCGCAGATTTATCTTCACTAAATCACGTGAAAACACTGACAGCCTGTCATTACTGCACCACAATGACATTTTAATGACATGACCATCATTGCAGTACAAACAACTGAATATGTATTCAACATGCAGCAGTTACGGGATCAAAATGATGTATAAATACATCGTTTACACTGGAAGCTGTTACTCTGAATAATGTAACTGCATGATTCCMTCTATGAATAATTAGTGATTGGTCACTCTTATGCAACGATGATGTGTGGATTCAAGAAATGCAAAACTTAATTACAACTAATAACTGGATTATGTCCTGCCAACTTTCATTACCTTCTGTTTTCATCTCATGGTTTCTAAAAAAAGGCATAATTATTTTATGAAATCCTACCAATATTCACTCAAACGTTGCATTTTCAGAACAAAATTCTATTTATATATTATAATCATCTGGCAAAATTATTGTTTTGCAAGAGTCTTGCAACAAAACCTAAACATGTCATGAAACAGTAATTAATAAAGAAGTGTGTGTTTAATCTGTGACACTAATTCTAATTTTGAACGTGAAAAACAGAATTATAATGTTGGCTCCGTATTCTACATTCAGTTTATTCCAACGTAAAGAGTAAATTTCAAAATAAAAGCACCAAAACAAAGCGAGCAGCCGGTTTCTCTCAGTTTTTTTGTGGGGCTTTTTTTGGTGKAAAATYTCCTTGTGATGGACTTKTGACCTGTCCAGAGTGTACCTCGCACAGTGACTGCTYGATATGGGCACTAGTSTCCCCCTCGTGACCCCTCGTGWCCCTGAAAGGAAGAAGTGGGTAAAAGATWATTAATAGATGGAAAATCTCTTTTCTGCCTCTGGCTGAGTTTTTTCTGAGAAAAATAAACTTTCTTGAAAAGTTTAGAAGTTTCAATTTTTCTCTGTATTCCTTCATTCTCCTGTAACTTAGCTGATACAAGTTGTAAAATACACCCCACCTACTTTTTTGTGCTCTCAAATGAATAAAATTGATTTTTCCAATGGATTGACATAATGCGTTAAACCAGCTAAAACCTCATCTGTTCCAAACTGGATAATATAAAGCKATCTTTACATTAGAATGAATTTATGCTTCACATTTTTGGCAAGTATGTTGTTCAGAGAAGAGCACTTGTCATAAATTATTTGGAGGTTTTCTGTCCCCTGAGCTTAAAAAATCCAGCTGGCAAGAGACACAGAAGAGTCTGCGAGAGCAGTGCTGGAGGAAATGTGATTACAGTCCAATCCAAAATAATTACAGTTCAGATCCTCACAGAGGTGGTTAGTCTTTGTTTTTCTGTGATTACTCTGTATATATTTCTCCCTTGCTTCTTCTTTGTGTGTGGAGGGGGAGGGTGTGTGTGTGACATCAGTTTGAATGTGTAGTTCCCCACCTTATATACTGACAGAATAGTTTATCCTTAGAGAATGTAGAGTAGAATCAGGAGACAATATTCAGTAAAGAGTTGATTCCCACACATTAATATAACAAATTATCTCAGGAAATGTAATTTTATTTTGTGTTTTTTGTTAAATTAGTTTTCTTTTCCAATTACTATTTTTTTTCTCTTTTGTTGAGTGCAGATTACCTTCTGTTTTTATGTCAAAATTTAAAACAATACTTTCCTTTGTATTGATGCTCAGAGCAAGTGATGGGATGACGCTCAACTACTTCCACAACAAATTTTGGGTTAGTTTATGTAAAAGTGACTGAGTTACAGCCATTTATGTGTTTGCATTGGTCAATTAGGTGTAGTGATAAAAGGCCATTTAAAAGTTAATCAGWTGTAAAAGTGCATCCAGTGATTATTTTCTGAGAATTTCTTTAAAACTAAAGCGATTTATGAGATATTTCACTAACAAACAGACAAACAACAATTACTCATTTACTCTGTGAGCATCTTATTAAGACAGTCAGCTTATTTCTTTTTCAAAATAAGATAAAATAAGCTTGGTTATCTCAAGATAACAAAAACTTGTGATACTTGTGTCTAAATGAATAAAAGCCATTCTGTGCTTCAGTAGAGAAACTCTCCCCACTCCATCCAAAAAAGAAAAAGCATTTAAAGTTTCAGATCATAACGATAGATTAGTTAAATATGAGTAGACGTGGACCGTGGAAGATTTAGAGATGAAGTCAGTCTAAACAAAAAAGAGAACTAACTTATCAGATAAAAGATAAAATGATAAAGGCAGACGGGAGCGAGTCGGGAAAAAATGGCACAGAAGGATGGCGAGCCACATGGAGGGATTATTAGCGACTCATTTCAGGGATTTGGGGGCGAATGCTGAGGTCTGACACACCAGAATGTGATCTCACTGTGGCTTAGTGTCACTTTTCTCTCCTCCATTTATCCTTCCGGTCCACCTGGATGCACCAACTTCCAGCACATCTGAGTTCACTGTCATGTCGTTCTCGTGCCTCTGATTTGTTCCGTCTCACTCGTGCACGTGGTTCAGCTTTAAGCTCAAACACAGATGYGTTCAGTGGGTGATACTACAATTGCAAAATGATACAATTTCTTATGGATTTTCCAACTGGATGCTGCAGCAGAACAAATTCAGTGTTTTCTTTTATTCCAGCTGGTTGAAGATCATGAACACAGTTTTCTTTCCAGATGAAGAAGTTTTACTTTATAACTGTGTTCAGACTTTACCCCAGCTGCTTGTAACTTTAAAGTGAAATGTATAAAAGCAGAAATAGAATAGAAAGAAAGCCTCCTCGGTAAGTTTTTTTTTTCAACTCTTTCTCTGACTTTTTCTGTGCCTCTCATGCAGATCTGACTTCGACCTGGACTATGACAGCTACCACAAGGACTACTATGACAGGTACAGTCAGAAAGCTAAGCTCACACACCTTATTGCTTGTCTCTGTGTCACTGAAAGGAAAAGGAAAAAGCTAAAGTGGATTTTTTGCCTTCCTTACTGTCAGTCATTCCGTCTTTGTTTACAGTGTAGCTACTTAGCAAGGAGCTCGCTGCTATCACCCACAAGTCTGCAAATTATTTATTTCCTCACTCATAGACAGATACATTCCTGCTGTCAGTGCTATATATATATATATATATATATATAAATACAGTAAATAAAGTTCACTTACAGTGTGTGCCTCAGTCTCATAGTCAGAATCCTACTTCCCTGTGTTAGCCCTAAGCCAGGGGTGTCACTTTTATTTTCACCGAGGGCCAAATGAGCATCATGGTGATCCTCAAAGGGCCAGTTGTAATCAATGTCAATGTTTCCTGTTTAACTTTGACTAAACACAAAATGTTATGTTCCTCGTCTCATTGCTATGACTAAGCACCACTAACAAACTACTGAGCTCTATGTGGTATTTCCTGCATAGAAACAGCATTTTAGCAGGACGTCCTCTTATAAACACTGGAAATCACAACTGACTGAGAAATAAAAGCCACAGAAATACTATTAAAAGTAAGAGGAAGAAAGTTTTACTCACTGTTGAGTTGTGGTGAGCAGCTGCCGTCTTGAATTCAGAACTCTCCCACTTCCCAACAGGAAATTCCCTCTGGGGGCAGCGTTCCATTTTAAATTTACGACTTGTAAGTGTGAAATTCCCACTTCCCAGTACAACTGGACTGCATTCCATTAACATCGTAATCTGGAACTGGGAAGTGGTAGTGAAGTAGTTTCTCAACAAACCACATGAAACTGCATTCCAGTTAGCCCACAAGCAATTGTAATGCTTCCGCTCACCTAGCTACAACACTGCTACAATATGAGCAATGACAGACAGCTCTTCTACGGTTGTGTCCAAAACGAGAGGCCRGTCCTCTGAAGGCCAAATTTGTCGGCCGCTTAAGTCACAGCACCGCAATGAAGGCCGTCCAAATCCGAAGACTCCTCCGATGCAGCTGACAAATGCATCCTTCCTTTGGCCCGAATTGAAGGACTGGTCCGATGGATCCTTCCTGGCCCACCATATCCCATAATGCATTGCGGCCTGACCAGAGATTTTTTTTGCTATTAATGGCAGACGAAGCGAGAGAAAAGAATAGATTTTAAATAAATATGGTGGTATAAAATTTAACATTTTCAAGCGGTTCTGTTTTTACTACTTTTATCATTTGTATAGACATGTTTTAAAATATTATTTTTGTCAGAAAAAACTAACTTAAATAGCAAAATAAACATGCACCTACGGCAGGTCCATTAGTTCTTCAAATATTACCTCTAAGTTAATTTTATTGTTTTGTGAATATATACCAAGGACTCGGCCTCCCGTTTTGGACACAGCCTATGTACGTCATGCAAMTAAAAATTGATTTTATTACATACAGGATGCACAGAAAACACACTACAAAAACATTAAAAATGATAATTAACAGTAAAAGTTAGGGAGTTAACTTTCTTTCTAAAGCTGCGCGTAGCCCCCATCTTGAAATCAAAACTGGGAGTAGTCGCCGATGGTAGTCGCAGGCGCTTTCACTATATGAATGGGATTTACCGCTGGAGGGGGCAATCCAGTTTAAATTCACAAATGGGAGCAAGAAAATTTCCCCTTCCCAGTGAAACTGGAACGCCTTGGCAGAGAAAATGCAGCAAAACTGAAATTTTACACAGAATATTTTGCCGAAACTTTTGAACGCACTGGCTTTAAAGCAGCGTGCTCTTATTTTAAGACATTAAYACATCTTTGAAGCTCTCACTAGTCACATGAAATGTCGTGATGTGACACATTTTGCCCCCAGGTCTTGAGTTTGACAYGTGAATATAGCCTTTAATAAGCCTACAGCAAATAAACGTTAATAAAACCAAAGGCAAACCTCAATACCACCACCTCCCACTTTTTTTTTAGCAATTTTTCACTTTTGCAACTACTTAGATGTTCTTGTCTTAAGTGTCTCCATGTATCTTTCACTTGTAAAGATTCATGTTTCATCCAAACACAAAGGAATTTAAGCTCGAGATGAACAATCCTGAAATTGTTCTTTAAATTTTCAGTTCCTTCTCGCTGCCTGGACGAGTTGATAACAAGCATCTGGGACAAAATACACCTCCACGAAACACAGAAATTGAGTTTATTGTTTGGGACGAAACTCTAAGCTCAGCACTTAGTCTGCAGTGTGTGTGTGTGTGTGTGTGTGTGTGTGTGTGTGTGTGTGTGTGTGTGTG